AAAATAGTCAATATGGATCAGCATATACCACGACATAATAGAATAAATATTTATTGAGATATGGAGCTACAAAAAATATATAACATCAAGACAGACAAAATTTACGAATTAACCTAATGATAACAGTCCGGTTTCAGCAGATGAAATATTTTTTATAGGGATGAACGAGTACAAGTGCTGTAACGCTCTCACAATGATGTCTATGCAGAAATCATGACTGATGTCGCAGCTAAATCATATTTATTTTTGAAAATAAATATATTTTTTTCAGAAAAGCTAGAGCTGTTGAAATGTATGGTATCGAAAGGACTTCAGTTTGTTATAATCGATCTCGGCCTAGAAGTGAACTTTGAAAAATTTTTGGAGAGCAGAAACAACCACTTTGGTGTTATTTTGGATTGTGTATTGATAAACCTACCACAGAATGAGGAGAACGTATTCATAACGCAAGGAATGCGATGGCATCTACCATCAGGAAGAAGCCGTGTATGGGATCAACTTACGAATATCAAAGCTGAACGAGGCCTTCAGGGGTAATCTATTGCAAAGCTGAGCTTCAACATCGACCATCAAACGAGATTCATGTTCTATTTTCCTCTGCATTTCACTGATCCAAGGTCAGACACCGCTGTTTCAACCCGCCATAGGTTTCATACCTAGCACCATTGATGAGGCCTTTGACGATGTGAAATAGTACTGTCCGGTAATGGATCACGAAGGCTTTATTTCTGGGCGGTGGTTTCAGCTAGTTGCCTTGCACTAAAAAATGGAAATGAAGGGAGATAGCAAATCTCGTGTGGCAGTTGAGTCAAAAATTGGCTTTGCAACAACTTTCGATCTCAAATACTTGCCTATCACACAGCGCTGTCCGGTAATGGGTTCTGAAGGCTTTGTTTCTGGGTGGTGGTTTCAACTAGTTGCCTTGCACAATGAAGAGAGAGAACGAATCTCGTTCAGCAGTTGATGTCAGAAGTTGACATCACAACAGCTTTTGGGCTCACCAATGAGGCCTTAAAAGTTTCGAGGCTTTGTTTTTAGGCGGTGGTTTCAACTAGTTGCCTTGCACTTGACACTGAACATAAAGAGAGAGAACGAATCTCGTTCGGCAGTTGATATCAAAGATTGGCTTTGCAACAGCTTTTCAGCTCAAATGCTTGCCTAGAGCCACTGATGAGTTTTCTGACGATTCAAAACAGTGCTGTTCGATAATGGATTACGAAGGATTTGTTTTTTTCCAAAACTGGAAAAAAAGGGATAGAACAAATTTGGTTTGGTAGTTGATGTCAGAGATTGGCTTTGCAACAAGTATTGGGTTCAAATGCTTGCCTAGCACCACTGACCGGCTTCGCAATAGCTTTTGGGCTCAAATGGGTGCCAGGCAAGCATTTGTCGAAGGCTAGTGGTTTCAGGCCTCGAATGCTTGCTTAGCACCATTGATGAGGCCATTGACGATTCAACACAGCGTTGTTCGATAATAGATCTTGAAGATTTTGTTCCAGGGTGGTGGTTTAAACTAGTTGCCTTACTCTGAGAACTGAGAATGAAAAGAGAGAACGAATCTCGTTCAGCAGTTGATGTCGAGAGTTGGCTTCACAACAGCTTTTGTGCTAACCAATGAAGCCTAAGAAGATTCCAGGCTCTGTTTTGGGGCAGTGTTTCAACTAGTTGCCTTGCACTGAAAACTGAAAAGAAAGAGAGAGAACGAATTTTGTTCGGCATTTGGTGTCAAAGATTGGCTTTGCATCAGCTTTTGGGCTCAACTAATTGCCTAGCGCTACTGATGAGGCCTCTGACGATTCAAAACAGTGCTGTCTGATAATGGATCACGAAGGTTTTGTTTCCGGACGGTGGTTTCAGTTAGTTGCCTTACACTAAAAACTGAATAAAAAGGGATTGAACGAATTTAGTTTGGCAGTCGATGTCAAAGATTGGCTTTGCAACAGCTTTTGGGCTCAAATGCTTTCCTAGTACCACTGATGAAGTCTTCGAAGATTCAGAACAGCACCGTCTAGCGATGGATCACGAACACTTTGTTTTTGGGTGCCGGTTTTAACTAATTGCTTTGCCCTAAGAAGTGAAAAAAAGAGAGTTCGTTCAGCAGTTGATTTCGAAGATTGCTTTGCAACAACTTTTGGGATCTGAATGCTTGCCTAGCACCACTGATGAGGCCTTTGACGCCGTCTAGTGATGGATCATGAACGGTGCCGGTTTCAACTAGTTGCCTTGCTCTGAAAAGTGAAAAGAGAGAGAGTTCTTTCGGCAGTTGCTGTCAAAGATTGGCTTTGCAACGGCTTTGCTCCCTAAAGAACCATCATTCACCACTAATTACATAAATCCAGTCTTCTTGCGTCTTATAGATGGTGTCTTCGCAAGGAAAGATGTCATTGCCTTTTCTAACTCTGTCTTGTCTTTCTAGGACAGTTGAGCCCATTGAAGCATCACTGATGATATTCACAGCGGATCGAAACAGCACTATTAAATGTTGGATATACGAAATAACAGCCGCAAGTGAAGTCAATATAATAACATCAGAGCTGAACAAGCTCGAAATTATTGAAATGACAATTATGCTTTAGTTGCCAGTATCAGTGACTAATGCTCAGCTGACTAATTATGTCAGTTCGTTGTTGTATTGGTGAAATCGTCCGTAATAAACGCTGTCCTAACCTCTTCACAATATATGTACGTATTCCGAAATAAAGTGCTCTGAAAAAAGAAGTCGAGTGTCTGAACAAACTGAATTTCAATATAGGAGCAGAAAGATCTCATTGTCCTTTTGAAATAGATGAATAACAATTCTACAATGATCTTACTGTTTTGAATTACATGAATTTAGAATCTGATCACGGTAAATGTATAGAAGTAAATGCCCAAAAACTAATTGTAGATTTCAATAAAAAGGTGGAGAATCCCAATTTATAAATAGACGATACACAAAAATAAGCTAGGAAAAAAACAAACTCTGATAGCAATTTTAGTCGGAGTTCCCCACCTAAAAAGCATAAACATAATTATATACCTGTTTTGGAAATGATGGCGAGACAGAATTTGCATGTGTCTCAGATCGGTGCTGAAATGACTCGTTAGCAATCGTCAAGAAAACACCACCAGATATAAATTTCACATGTGTGCAAAGGATTAAAACTGAATATGCATCCACATATGAAGTTTCTTTTTTTCCAATTGATAAAGTCAATGAAGTTTATAATGCAGATATATGGCCTAAAGGCTCTGTTGTCTTCAGATTCAAACTCAAAGAAAATTTTCAAAAAGCAGCCAGGTTAATGGAAAATCCTCAATATTCAATAATAGTGAATCTGAATTTTAAGAATTTTTGGCGTTATATCGTCGACAAATGACGCATCTTTTTATGAGAGATCGAATTGTTCTACGACCACCAAGTATCCAGTATCTTTCGCGTAGGTTACTCAATAGTCTTTCGGTACCGATATGGCATAACCGCACGTGTGTATCAAAAATGAGTCTCTCTACCAAAGAGTGTTTCGTAGGAAGTACAATGGAAAATAGAGAATCTGTTGTGTTTTTCCTTCACGAAATTCTGCTCTTGAGATTAATAATACCTTGATGGTTTTTGAATGGACATAGAGAGTTAAGCTTGTTATAATTCAGGCCACTAAAACTTTTATTCTGAATATAACGGATAATGAATATTTCAGCTTTATCTAATTCTGCAACGCTCAAACAATATTTCTTCTTGAGGAATGGATTTTTGACATTGTGAACAGAACGATGAATCCACTCTATCAATCGGACTGTTTTGTGATCTTTTGAAAAATATCCGAAGTGCCATTCATCCGAGTTATGGTTGAGCATAGTCGTAATCGGGGATTTCTTTCTTTCTCTAATGATCTCTTCCTCATCGTTTACGATTTGAAGCCAAGAGTTTGAAGGTCAATACAACCATGTGGGTCCCTCCCACCATTTTGACTCATAGAGATGACGAGGAGAACAACCTCTTGAGGTGGATCTGCTGGATTCAATGCATCTGGGACATGGTGCCAAGATTCAATATCAGTCAATCAACGAATCTCTTACACTCGATTTCCAACAAATGTTGACCAAGGTTCATTTTGTTGAATCCATGGTGGATGAGTCACTCCAGAAATAACTTTTGATATATTCATGAAAATTTTTCCTCACTCTGTCATATAATCTTGCGCCAATATTCGCAGTCAATAACTCCAAACGTGGAATAGAAATTTCTTTCAGTGGTTTGAGTCTGGATTTGGCTGCCACTGAATGAACTGAGATGCTGTTATTCTCGACTCTCATGAAACAGGGCAAGTCGATCCAAAATTATATAGATTTATCAATATTCCCAATTATATCTTGGCGAAAAAATGGGAGTGTAAAAAATATAGAATGGTTCAAAATTTAGAGGTTGCCAATACCCAAGATTGGGGAATGCAATCTCGCGAGATTGGGGGGTCAGGCGAGATCTCGCAAGTTTATGAATAACAATACCACGAGATCTTGCCAATTTCGAGATCTCGCGAGATTGACAGTTTTGTGTGTACATTCTTGTGAAAAATCACAATAATTGAATGAATTAGAATAAATGTAATACGAATTATAGGTTTGGCAATCATAATCCCTAATTTGGACCGAATTTTCAATTTCATGTTTTTGCAGTATGCTCAATCTGGTTGATAATGGAAATATGGAACGTTTGAGAAAATACTGGTATTCAAAAAAATCAACCTGCCTTCATTCAGCCAAAAAACAAGAAATTCATGTCGTTTTCATGTTTCCCTTTAGCTCTATGTGGCGGAATATTTATTTCAATGATATTTTGAATAAATGAAGTATTCCCTCATTTGAAAAATCCTCTGCTGAACGTATTTAATCAACCGAAAAAGTTCAAAACAAAATCAAACAAGGTCCATCCGTATACGAATTGACTTTAGATCTAGAAAGTGAAGATTTTTTAAACATTTGTAGGATACTATATGTAGATATGCATTGAAAAACAGTTGAACTAAGAACATGAACTGTATTTTCTTCACATTCGCTTCAAAAATAAATCACTCATTCACCGATATTTTTTTTTGTTCATATGCACTATACCTTTTAACTGATCAATTAAAACAATTTTTATCTATGCAAGTTAGAAAATGAAACAGGTGCTCATGTTCAGCTTATGGACGTATTTTAATTGGAATTGGACGATACTTCATAAAATCGATGATAATAAACATATGGCGAAATTCTTCACACAGTTTACGATACGGAAAAAAATGTTTCACTAGGTATACAATTAGTGTTTCAATAAGTTGTTATTGGATGTTCCAAATATTTTTCTAGGCGTTGCTTCCAGGCTTTGTATGATCTTGGATCTTTTCTCACACTCAAATTATGATCGATATCCAGATAATTCAGTTCGTTTGGTGTAACTTTGGGCCAAATTTTATTTTCCAGTACAGGATCACGACTAGGGGTAGGATTCCTGAAAATAATATCCATATTATTGAAATTAGATGAATTTGCTGATAGTAACTAGCCTAGTGTTAGATTATTTGTATTTGTAGAAATGGTGAATATATTCAACATATCTACAGTCTTCATCGAAGAAAACACAAAAATTTTGTTCTGAAGTTGCTTCTCCTATCAAGTAGCTTTCAATGGTATTGTGTTATTTACTTGAAAACCCTTCGCCATCTTGAACTTTGATGGAACATGTCTCAAATGTATATTTCATAAAGACTGGAAAATTTTGTTTTTGAGTGAAAGTTTCTTCAATTTTCTGAAAATTACCTAGTATCATCTGATGGAGCTATGGCCTTAGGAGAATTGATATTTTTTATTCTTGATTGATTTTTATATAATATGCAATTCAAAAAATTCTCAGAGGTACATGATGATGTTTATGAACAAGCAGTATCCATAGTTCAAGAATAGGGAAGTGATGAGTTCTAGAAAAGTTTACTTTCAGGTGATTTATTCCAACCTTCTTCCGTCTGTTCAATATAAGGAGGACCAGCATGGAATAATCGGAAACTGTAAAGGGATACAGAGTCGATTCATTTAAAAATTATATGAAACACTTTCCCATAGTCACTTTTCAAACTGTACAAGATGGCGTTCATATATTTTCAATTCGAATTCAATTTTCCTCTCCAAAAAAAACCAGCACCAAATTTATTTTCTATATGGACTGGAAAAAGAATTATCCGTTATTTCTTTGATTGCCGACTTGTATATTTTGTGGAAATTCATGTTTACTGAGGATACACTACAAAAACACACTTTTGTCTATTTTCCACGATATTTCTTTATTGTGACTAGCTTTGGCTATTACACCATTTTCAAAACTAACTTAGTTTTGAAAATGGTATAATAGTTATAAGTTAGTTTTGAAAAAGATGTAATAGCCGAAACTAGTCACAATAAAGAAATATCGTGGAAAATGTGTTTTTCTAGTGTATCCTCATTATCCGTTATAACCTAGCCTCTTTGGCGATAACTCCATATTGAATTAGAATTCCACAAATTTCAAACTCTCATTCAGGTAAGTTTCGAAATGAACAACTTTTTTTCTAATTCAACCGACTTTGTGTGTCTAACTTATTCCGACTCTCCCATTCTAGCCCTTCTCATCGCAGTGTACGATAAAGGACTATTTATATTTCTTAAACTGGCAACACTAATGTGGCAACACCATAATGAAGTTTGACTTTTTTTAGCATGAACGTACTCACAACGTTTTGATGTACAAGTGCTGTTCGTTTTGTTCACAGTGAGTTAAGAAAATCAGTTTGACCAAAAAATGACAATTTCAATTTTGTTGGATTATTTTTCACAACTTTCGACGTGAATTTTCTCAACAAGAGTGTGTCGATGAACTCAGTTTTTTGTATGGCGATAAAGCATCATCAAAAACCATAGTATATCGCTGGTATAGTGAATTCAATCGTGGTCGTAGAACGGTCGCCGACGAATTCCGTGAAGATCGTCCAAAATCAGTTGTTGTGCCACAAAACATCGATGCAGTGCCTAAACTGATGATGTAAGATCATGATGTGATATTTTGTGAGATAGAGGCATCCTTGGACATCAGTAACACTTCATTACATTCGATTTTACATGAACACTTGATTGTAAAAAAATTCTCGTTGGATACCTCATAGTTCATCTATCTCTCAAAAAAATGCTCGCGTCAAGTTCGACCGTGGTGCTTCAAAAGCACCACGTATAAAATCGTGACAGGTGATGAATCGTGCGTATACGCGTATGAGCCGGAAACAAAACAGTAATCGAGCATTTATTTGCCGAAAGTCTTCGGAGAAATTCATAAAAATAACCGCCGAAGACGAATCATTCTCTATCCTGACAGTTTGAGCTCTCACACATCTCGTCAAACAGGTGAATTTTTGAGCAGACAAAACATTAATTGATGACTCATTCTCCGAACAGTCCTGATTTGGCACCCAATGACTCCTTCTTGTTCCCGAATACTGCATCGTAAACTGCGTGGTCAACGATTTATGAACGCCAAAGAAGGGGTCAAAGCGTCCAAAAACCATATTTTGAAGGTGTCTCAAGAGGAATGGAAAAACTGCTTTGACAAATGATCTGAACGAATGCAAAAGTATATTGAACATCAAGGGAAATATTTCGGAAAAAAATAAAATTTTTAATAAAAAATGTTTGTTTTTATTTGCTATTCCCGAAATATAAATAGTACTCCTCGTATATTCAAAACATTCAAAAAGAAAAAAAAAACAAAAATGAATTTACTTTCAGTAAATGAGAGAAACATACAGGCTGATTCACGGTGGATGGCACATTAGACGTTTCAGGTGAACCAGACAACGAATCACTTTGAAAATTTAATGGAGGGCATATTCGGACATTCTCTAGCCAACTAAAATATTTTCGACAATGCGGTGTTGCCGCTTCTATTAGAAAGCAGTAGCAACTTTGATTTTTCAAATGGAACACTCTGTATATAATATTATTTTTGGAATC